GGGGCGGGGCGGGCGGCCGCCGCCCGGCGCCGAGGGACCAGCTCCCAGCCCCCTCCCGCGTGCCCCCCGCACAGTGCTCATGCGCGCACCGCCCAGCCTTTATAGCGGGCGCGGGAGCCGCGCTCCCCGCACTCGGGCGCAGCCGGGTGGACCTCAAGCAGGTGCGGCACTCGGGGAGCCGGACGGGCAGGGTCTCTGTCGCCCCCAGCTTGTCTGTCTTCATCTTAGCATCCCCTTTCCCCTCCGTCCGGAATGCACATCGATTCTGGGTTTGGCTCGATTTGCAGCAGAGCGCCGCCTCCAGATTGAGAGGGGCGCTGGCTCCGGAGCAGCAAGCAGCTCTTCCTCCCGCTCCCCGACCCCCAGGGTGTCCGAGCCGCGCCGGGCTCCCGGAGCTGCTGGCGGGCGTGGGGTGGGGGGGACGCGGGTGCCTCCCTCGCATCTCCCTCTCTCCCAGGTGCAAACAGCTCCCGAAGCACCATGTCTGCAGCCTGGATTCCGGTGCTCTGCCTCGGTGGGTACGCGTCCCTCTCCGCCCCCCAGCCCTCGCGCCAAGTGCGGGGAAGCTGGTTCGAACCAGCCCTCCCGCTTTCCTCTCTTCGCAGGCGCCTGTATGCTGCTGCTGCTACCGGAGCCCGCGGGCAGCGAGGGAGCCGGTGAGTTGTGGGTTCCAGGGTCGAGGAAGCCGGGCTCGGTTCAGAGGAAGAAGCGAGGCTTAGACCGAGCCCCCTGGATCTTGGCCTGGAGGCCAGGCGGTTAGGGTCGCTTCCTGGCGCACCCGCGTGCATGTGGCAGCAGATCTGCCCCGCTTACCTGTTCCTCCCACGCCGGGGTCCCCGGAGCGTCCTTCCAGAGGCGCGGAGGAGAAAGCCTCCCGCCCCCGGAGCTCGCGAGCGGGGCGAGCTTGGCTGCCGCAGGGGGAACAGAGGTCTGCGCTGAGTCCCACCGGGAGCCCCTAGTCCCGGACGCTCCCGCTGCGTTTGGGGTCTCGGAGAAGCCGGCGCGGGCGGTGGTAGCGGAGAGGGAGGGAGGTCCTGGTCGCTGCCTAGCCTGGTCGAACGCCCTCGCTGTTTCCAGGTCCAGCCCCTTTAGCAGGCAGCGCTCGCGTTCCGCTTCGAACGTGAGAAGTCCAAAGAGTTTTCCACGTGTCGAGGCCCAGGTGTTGGGTATGTGGTTCAGTGTATTTTCTACCATGTACAAGACGTACTTTCCCCTAAAATCTATTGTATTCCTTGAAAGGAAAACAGCGAGGGTAAGTACTGCACGCGCTGCGGACCTCACGCACTGCTCTGACACGGTTACTGCTCAGGCCATAGCGCCCGCGCCTCAGCGCAGACCCGAGGGGATCTGGCTGCTGGGCGATGGGTATGAGGCTCGTTCTCGCAAGGATAGTAACTGTCCCAGCTCTCTAAAGCATTTCCGAGACAAGGAACGGGCGCTGTACCCGGCATCCTCCTCCCCTTTCTGTGGGCATGGACCGTCCAGGGCACAGCTGAGCACAAAGCGTCCAAGAGAGGAGCCTCGTTAGGGCGAGCCACCGGGTCCAGCGGTATTACCAGAAGATACTCCTCTGTTCTGGAAAACAGGGTTTTTAAAGTATTTTAGAAACATCTGTTTCAAAAAGGTTTGGTTAACCACACTTTCCTGTGTTTGGAAGACACTAGTGATGTTAATCCCGAGGCCAGCGGGTGGCTTGGTGGTTGGGGCGCTGGACTCCCACGTGGCTGATCACAGTTCGGTCCCCACCCACGCACGGTTTGGGACTCAGGCGGGACATGTGTGCCTGCCTGCCCTGGGTCTGGAGAGGAAGATGGAGGAGAAGGGATTGCAGTGTAGCCATCCTCGCTGGGGGGGGCTGATTTTTCACTTTCTGTCTCTATGTCTCTGACGAGTGCACACTACCTACAGCAAAAATCTCTCAAAAAAAAAAAAAAAAAACATCAATCCTACATTGCTGTCCATGGTAAGTAGTCAATGAATGTGTATTATGTTATGTGTTGCCGAGGGCTTGGCTCTACTTAGCTTCTTTTGTAGTAAACATTGTGACTGTGTGTTAGTCAGGTTGACTGTGTAAAACTGGAGAACATTAACAGTGCTTTCTAAAAATGCATTCACTGCCTGATAGATTTCTTTGGACAGATCTGGAGCAGAAATAATCAGGTTCAATTAAGATAAAAATGTTCCATTCTGAAGGGACTAACTCCCCTGTTTCCTGACCTTTGGGAGTTGTAGAATGTTCCTTAGGCAAATTAACCCCAAGGCTTTAATTTTCTCATCTGTAAAATGAGCGACCGAGTTCAAGAACATTTTGTGAACCTAAGCATCTTGTTCCTGGTTTGCTTATGGCGACGTGTGATTTGGAGGCTCTGCGTTGGTCGGATAACTAGGATAACTATTCCTGTGAAACAGAGGATGGCTGAGAGAGATGTGTGCCTGTGTCTGTGAGACTGTCCCACACATTGCCCGTCCAGATTCGCAGTCTTCACCACAGGCAACTGGGGACAGAGTGTCATCAGAGCTGAGATTTCTGTATTGTTAGGATAGTGAGGAAACGTTCAGTGGCTAATGCGATCGTCTAGTTCTGATGTATTTCCAATTACGTGTTTCCAAACTGATTAAGAATGAAAAAAAAACCCTCACATTAGACTTTTACAGTGGCTGAGGACTAAGTTAAATGGGAAATCTACTTTTGACTGACTAAAATTTGGACTTGTGTGGAATGGCACACGCAATACTCTTAATTAGAAGTGTGGAAATCGAGGAAGTAAAGCTCAAATCTCAAAACCTAGCTTCCGAGAAGTCCTTAAGACATTGCTCTCCTTTCTCCTCAGTCCCCATCGCTATCACATGCTTCACCAGAGGCCTGGACATTAGGAAAGAGAAAGCAGATGTCCTCTGCCCCGGCGACTGCCCTCTGGAGGAATTCTCCGTTTTTGGGAACATCGTGTATGCCTCCGTGTCAAGCATATGTGGGGCTGCTGTCCACAGGTATGCCAGAGATGTGAGGGCAGAGACCTGCAAGCGTGATTACTTCCATTTCTGCTATAGACATCCAGACCCCCTTCCTCCCCACTTCTGCCTTTTGGTGCCAGATTTGCCTCTAGAAGATGGATACTCTTAAAGACTTCTTGCAACACCGCATACATGAGTAAAATTTCCTGAAAAAGGCAAATTGCCTTCTGTGATTCTAAGATATTCCTAATCTTGCATACTGATAGTTTTTCCTGCGTCCCAGCTGTTGTTTTAACTTCCACAACTTGACAAGGTACGTACAGCTTTAGTCCATTTTACAGATGAGGAAACTGAGCTCAGAGAGTTGAAGTGTCTTGCCCAAGGTCAGTATGTTAGTACCATACTATCTTGCAGGAGGGCCAGCGTGCTATTTTTAAAAGAAAATGCAGTCCAAGAGCAAGTAAAGTATGTTAGGAAAATCGTTTGGTACTTTTATTAACCCTGAATCCCTAAGCTATAGGGAATAAGAGATTTTATACACACACACACACACACACACACACACACACACATATATAATATATATACATGCATGTATATATAAATATTTATATATGTATAAAATCAACACTTAAAAAGTTTGACAGTAGGGGCTGGCAGGTGGCATGGTGGTGGTTAAGGGCACTGGACTTCCACATGGCAGACCACGGTTTGACTCCCAGACCTGGCAGCTTGCTTTCCACTTCCCCTCTCTCTCCCTCTCTCACTCTATCCCCCTCTCTGGTCAAATTAAAATAAGTAAATAAATAAAGGTAAATAAAACATTTCTTTAAAAAATATGTCTGACAGCACAAAGCCATTTCCCAGATTTTTTTTCTGTGTAAGAAAGTTTTGAAAAGGCAGGCAGGTCTTTAGATGACTGAACTGTCTTCTCAATTAATCAGAGCAGTGGCTGCAGGATGGCAGTGGAAGTCTGTCGGATGCCCTGGAGACGTGTTCACAGTGTCTCAGCTGTTATTCTTGTGTTGCAGGGGAGTGATTGGCAGCTCAGGGGGGCCTGTGCGAGTCTATAGCCTACCTGGTCGGGAAAACTATTCCTCAGTAGATGCTAATGGCGTCCAGTCCCAGACACTTTCCAGATGGTCTGCTTCTTTCACAGTGACTAGTAGGTACAATTACATTATTCTCACGTTTGTATAAATATTGTTCCCCCCTCAAAAAGTTGTCTGCTTTTCTTAGCCTAGCCTATTTGATACTGATGAAAAAAACCTGTGATCAAAACCAAAACAGTCAACTATGGGTTAGAATCAGGAGACTGGAGGATGAACTCAAGCCAAACTTGGGTGAATGGGGGAAGAACAGTCCTGTGGTCGGATGGTGGCAATAGAAGCTCCGATTGACTGTAGTCGCTTACCATGTATCACTAAATAGAAAAATTAGTGAATTTATTTTTGGTGATTCTTTTAAAATACGACAGTTAAGAATTTAATTTGGTTCTTTGAAACTGGCATGCAGCATGATATTTGAACCGACAGTTACCATTACCCTATTTCACTTACCATCCTATACATCCTATACAACCCTATAAATTAGACTTAGAATGCTTTGATAGTGAAAAAGGAAGAGGCAGAAATAGGCTTCTCTTTATTTCAACAGAAGGCAAAAGTGGTACCCAGGAAGCCACAGGGCAAGCAGTGTCAACAGCACGTCCACCAACAGGTATGAAATACAGACTGGCTCCCAGTAACCTGGCACAGCATTTGGAAGTTACAAAGTAAATGTGTTGTTGGTAGCTTTGTTTTTAAACATTAAGGAGAGGGACCAGCAGATGGTGTGGTTAAGGGTGCTGGACTCCCACATGGCCGACCATGTTTTGAGTCCCAGACCTGGTGGCTTGCTTTCTTACTTTCTCTCTCTCTCTCCCTCTCTTGCTCACTCTGTCTCTCTCTGGTCAAATTAAAATAGATAAATAAGTAAATAAATAAAGTTAAAATAATTTTAAAAAATGGAATCTCTTAAACAACTAAGGAGGAAAAAAAAGCACATGTTAGGTTTAACTGGTGTATTACATACAGAAACATTCAACTTTCTATTTTCTTATCTTTCTTGTATTTTCAATCTTAAATGCTTCTACCAATCATTCTCTTTTCTTTTCTTTCTTTCTTTCTGTTTTTCTTTTTCTTTTTCTTTTTTTGCTATAGGGCGTGTGCGCTCGCCAGACAGACAGAGAGAGACATAGAGACAGAAAGCAAGAAATCACCCCCCAGGGGGGATGGTCAAGCCGCAATCCCTTCTCCTCTATTCTCCTCTTGGGATCTTGGGCACGCACGCACACGCGCCCCGCGTGAGTTCTAAGCCACCGGGTCCGGGACGCAAACCGCGGTCAACTACGTGGGAATCCAGCGACATAGCCATTACACTAACTGCTGGTTCCCATACCAATCATTCTCTTGAAGTTCCAATTTGATAAACCACACCTAAGAACTGCTCAAAAGAAAAGTACTAGGAACTTTCTATTTTCATTTGCTTCATTAAATTCCCTTTTTTATTGCACTGTTCATATGAATACAAATAATTATTGTGTGCCTAAGAAATAGTCAGGATTCCCTTTTCTAAGAGTGACAACTTTTTTTCTCCAAAGATTATTCATTTATTTCTAGAGATAAGAGGCAGCAAGATCTCCCCACACCATGATCACCCCTCTAGCCTTCCAGCCAGCTAGGATCATGGGCATGCCTTGGGGATATTCAGGTTGATCCAGGGTCCAAACTTGGGACCTCCTGTATGGTTCCAGTATTACACACCTGCACCCTGTTTCCAGTGTCATCATGACTAGGCCAAGGCCAATTATAAAATCAAAGAAACTAAGAACATTAGGATCTAAATCCAAGTTTGTAATCTTGCCTCAACTGTGATTTTGGGATAGCGAAGTCCTGATTTAGGCCAACAGGCCTGTCTAGTCACTTTGTTGGGGCATTGTTTTCCCAGTCCAGGAATCACAAGGAAATTAATTTCTAAAAAAAGGTTTTCTTCAAGAATGACATTTTTTTTTCCTTTGGTGCACTTTTTGAAACTGTCTTCCTTTTTTTTTTTTTTTTAATGTCAAGATGTCAAGTGCTTCCTTTTTTTTTTTTTTTCCCAGGTAAACGACTAAAGAAAACACCTATTAAGAAAACTGGTAATAAAGGTAAGAATCAAGACAGTCATTTGGGAAAATAGCATTTTCTCTTGTTCCTTCAAAATGCTAATGCAAGGACTTGTTTGGGTGTTTACAGACTGTAAAGCAGACATTGCATTTCTGATCGATGGGAGCTTTAATATTGGGCAGCGCCGATTTAATTTACAGAAGAATTTTGTTGGCAAAGTGGCTCTAATGTTGGGAATTGGAACAGAAGGACCACACGTGGGCCTTGTTCAAGCCAGGTACTGAATGGGAATAGACGTGAGTGATGTCTCAAGTGAAGTCAAATTATCCGTCCTTTAAGGAGAAACATTCATTTTAGTTCAATATAAACTTGTTGAGTTGTGGACAAGATGGATTCCCAAACCATACATGCAGGATTTAAGACTGCCTGGGCAGACAGAGTAGGTCTCAATGCCTCCTGTTGCAATGAAAGGATGTAGACAATTCTCTGCTGTCTTTATGAGGACCAGAAGGTAGACTGAAAGGTCCTGCTTTTCACACATCACTTCTGCACCTTTGCTCAATTCCCAATGTGTTTCTCTGGAGGAATAAGTATTAGTAAGTTTATTCTTCCTCTCTTCTTTTCAACTCTTTCTATAATCCCCTGGTTGGAAAGTGGAAGCATGAACTTTTACTCATTCAGAGTAATATTTATTGGTGGCTTTTAGAACTATAATATTTTGATCATAGAAAGCTTGAAAAAAATATATATAAAGCACAAAGAAAGCGTTCATCACAGAAAGCATGAAAAAAATATATATAAAGCACAAAGAAAGCAAATTTTCAAACACCCCTATAATCACTATAAAATTTTACTTCCTCTCAGTATGTTAAAAAAAATTTGACTCTAGATGTTTATTTTTCTCAAAAGTTCAGACTATAAAAATGTCTAGTATTTTATGTCTTTTATCCCTTAGTATTTCAAGCACTTTCTCGTACTCAGAAATACAATTATTTGAATATTCATCAAAAAAGTTTCATGATACTCCTGTGCATGATTATTAAACCAGTCGTTATTATTTTTTTCACCATTGCACACTATACTGTAATGAACAGCCCATCATTTTGTGCCCATGTCCGATTATTTCACTGGGCCAGGTTCCTAGAAGTGAGGTTCTGACATTTTTTTTCAAAGGATTACTTTGTTTAACTTTATTTATTTATTTAAATTCGATGAGAGAGACAGAGTGAGAGCGAGAGCGAGAGAGAGAGAGAGAGAGAGGGAAAGTGAGAAAGCAAGCCACCAGGTCTGGGACTCAAACTGTGGTTGGCCATGTGGGAGTCCAGGGCCCTTAATTACCACACTACCTACCAGCCCCGACATTTTTAATACTTCTAATATAAATAGCTAAATTGCTTTCTAGAAAGGTGAACCAATTAAACTACTACAAGCTGGGGCTGGCAGGTGGCGTGGTGGTTTAAGGCACTGGACTCCCACATGGCTGACTATGGTTCACATCCTGGACCTGGTGGCTTGCTTTCTCACTTTCTCTCTCTCTCTCGCTCTGTCACTCTCTCTCTGGTCAAATGAAAATAAACAAATAAAGTTAAATAAAATAATAATTAAAAAAAATATCAGCAGTGTTCAAAGTATCTCTAATACTACCACAAATGTTAATTTATATTTAATTTTTTCTTATTATTTCACACATTTGGCTCTGCTCTTAGCATGGACATTTTTTACTGTGAAATGAAAATTTAACTTTTTTTTTCTTTGTAGTACAACCATTTGTTCCTCACCTTTAAAAAAAAGTTTCGGGGGACCAGCAGTTAGTGTAATAGATATGTTGCTGGATCTCCTTATAGCAGACCGCGGTTCAAATCTTGGACCCGGTGGCTTAAACTCACGCCGGGATCATGTGCATGCGTGCCCAAGACCCTGAGAGGAGAATGGAGAAGAGATTGCAGCGTTGCCCTCCCCCACGGGGGGGTGATTTTTCACTTTCTGTCTGTCTCTCTCAGTATTTCTGGCGAGCTCACACATCCTATAGCAAAAACCTCTCAAAAAAAAAAAAAAAAAAAAATTGGGGGGACCCGAGGTGGGGGAAAG